TGGGTCTGAGCTCTGGGGCCTCCACCTCAGAGGGCAGACCGATCTCCAGTGGTCACCTTAGCATTCAGGGCGTGGCCCATGGGGCCTCTTAGGGCAGTTTCTCTTGAGGTGGCCTGAACAGAGCATTTTAAAGATGCCAAAAATCAACCATTAAAAAAGATTTCTAGTCTTCAAATAACAAAGTACATAATTTTTATTGATCCTGACTGACACAGGATCAACACACATATGAATAAGTTGTTTAAAACTACAAGTTTATGAAGTGTATTTATTTATTTATTTACTTATTCACTTTTATGGTACTACGGGTTGAGATCAGGGCCTGCGGACTGAGCTATCACCCGCCACCTCTCTTTGTTTTCTGAGATTGGGTCTTGATCAGTTGCCCAGGCTAGGTTTAGATTTGCAATCCTCCTCCAAAAAATTTGTTTCTTTATTGCGATGGGTATTTGGGACTTGCATAATAAATATATAACCGTCTCAGACTATGTTTTTACTTTACCATTTCAGGAGCAGCAGAAGTAGCACGTAAGAATCCTATTTCCAGCTGGTTCACTGCTATGCTATACTGCTTTGGTGGGGGAATTTTATCCTGTGTGCTGCTTGCAGAGCCTCCATTGAAGTTTCTTACAAACCATACTAATGTTTTACTGGCATCTTCAATCTGGTAAGCTACCAGTATGGGGAACTGTGAGGTATTTTTTAAGAATGTTGAGTAAATTGTTAGTAAATGAAATTTACTTTTTTCAAAAAACATTTTATGTTTAAGTATAAAATATACCTTTTTCTTGGCTTTCTCATGTTGCTTCTCCTGGAGGCAATTGTCGTTACCATTGTCTTATGTATCTTTAACGGAAACATTTCAAACATGAAGGATCATTAAATATTTGGTCCACAAAAACCAACTCAGGGTTATGGCATGGTAAAGATCATGAATGTGACTGACCAAACAAAAAATCTTAAGTAACTGTGGCTCATATATAATTGTTCTTGTGGGATATTCTTTGTTCAATATTCTTTGTTGGCTTTAGAGACTTATGAGAGCTTTGAACATTAAGTTTTTAGATTTGACGTGAAGAAAAAATGTTACTTTTAATTTGAATTTGTGCAATCCAAACTCAGCTATCCTGAAGAGGATTGGTGCCTTGAGTTGAAAAAAAAAATGTATAATACATCAGTGTGCTTTATTTGTTGAAAGCAAAAAATGTGGTTTTATAACAATATTTTAAAAAAATAATAGCACTTTGAAAATTTTTTTTATGAATATAGATGCTGAAACAATATAAAAAGTAAGATACACAGAATGTGATACTTTTCATCACTTCCACTTCTGTTTTGTAGTCTTAACTACCACCCCCTACTTGGGTAATTTCAGTAGCTTCCTCATGGTCTAGCTGCTCTTTTCATTATTCCCCTGAATCTGTTCTTCATGTAGCACGTTAAGTGATTATTTTAAAGTAAGTTACAATATGTCACTCTGCCTGAAAGTTTATCTTATTATGAGCAAAGTCTTCTTCCAGTGACCCATAAAACCTTACAAAATTTTTCCTGTACTGAATTAGCACTTTTTTCCTTCCTACTGCACTCTAACCACATGAACTTTGCTGCTTCTTGACACATCATGTATTATTTAACTTTAGTGCCTTTGTACTTGCTTTTTTCACCCCTTAATGTTCTTTCCCCAAAAAGCTCACACTTTCTTTTATCAGAGAGGCCTTCCCATAACTGTCATATTGTTTTTCTTCTTAGACTTAATACTACCTGACATACTATCTGTTGATTTTTGTTTTTGTTTTTAATGTTTGCCTGTCTCAACTAGAATAACAGTTTATCAGAGCAGAGATTTTGTTTGGTTATCTGTGTCCAGGTACTGTTATAGATTCAGTGAATGCAACACTAAAAGAAATGGATTGCTATATACTGTTATAGGAGATTTCTGAATTTGGGTAGCAAGGAACTACAGATCATGATTAGTTGATCTCTTAAATGAAAGTTGATCTCTTAAATAAAATTGTACATTCATAAATGTATATTTTCTTGGCTTAAGCTAAATAGTATGTTAAATAGAAAATTTAAACTGTATTTTAATATAATGAATTAATAATAAAGCATTTAATTATTTATTCACTTCAGATCTTTTATTATTCCCATTTTACATAAGAGGAGATTGAGGCTTAAAGAGTTGGTCAGTGGCAGGGTCTGAATTTTAACTCAGGCATTTAGATTATAATCCCCCTTGAGATGAATTTTCTTTCTAAACAATTCAGCTTTATTGAAATTTTAGCTAAATCTGATGTACTGGCACATGCCTGTAATCCCA